AAAGGTTTCGTCGAAAATCCCCCTGTTGGGGGACAGGCCCGACTTAATGCACATATCGTGCTGTGCCTGCGGGGGGCCATGCAGGCGACCATGCAGGAGACCCGACGGGACGCCACACGGGAGACCACGCAGCAGGCCACTCCCCACCGATTCGGCTCCACGGGTAGGGGGCCACATGCGAACCCTGCCCCTACCCCCCCACGATTTCTGAGGGGGAGGGGGGGGTTCCCTTCGCTCGGTTCGCATGTGGCCCCCCCATCCTCCTCCCTCCTCCTCCTCCTCCTCCTCATCTCCTCTCCTCCTCCTCATCCTCCTCCCTCCTCCTCCTCCTCCTCCTCCTCCTCCTCCTCCCCCTCAGAAATCGTGGGGGGGTAGGGGCAGGGTTCGCATGTGGCCCCCTAACGGGAGACCCCGCGCGAGACCGCGCGAGGCCGCGGGCCTCCACGGGAGACCAGGGCGCCCGACCGATGTCCAGCGCTGGCGATACCCCGTCCGCGTTTTTTTTCGGAACATGTTTACCCGTCGGTCGTACCCATCGGTCGTGGACAGTAGGTTTAAGTCGGGCCTGTCCCTCTACAGGAGGAATATTCAAACATAGTAAAAAAATAGTTAGGGGACTATGTCTTGAGCATTTTTTGACCATTTTGGAATATGATTTGAGTCTTTTTTATTTTTCGTCGAGAATCCCCCTGTAGGGGGACACGCCCGACTTAACGGTAGGTATTTCTGGACTCCCAGATTCCAACCTACTTTTGGCGCCTCCCTACGTCAAGGATCGACTGGCTTCCCTCTTCCCTCCTCATCAGGGGGCGGGCAGAGGTCCAGTCTGCTTCCAATGCCTTCCTACTTCGTGGTTCTACCTAACTGCTTCCGACCGATGGGCAAGGGCCCTTACACACAAGTTGGTCAGGGACTTGCGCGTGTGTCGGCGTCGGCCTCCCGGGGGCGACGCGCGCGCGCAGACATCCTCTAGTCGGTGCTCGGTGGCGTTTTTTTTTGTTTGGCTACACCTCCTCGGTAACGTTGTGCCAGAATTTGCTCGTGCTATAGGTTCGGTGTGGGCGTGCGCCTCCACGGGGGGCGCATGGTACGAGTACGTCCTCCCGAGTCCCAGAGTTTGGCGTGGTCCCACGAACAGCGGGGAAACGTCAGACTCGAGGTCGCTGGAACTCGGGTCTGCCAACGCTTTTTTTGACGGGTCCGTCCTGGTTTTTGACGGAGCAATCGTCGTGGGATGTTTGCAGCGGGAGTTTGCCTCAAATGTCAGAGTGGGTCTCGAGCTCTTTCCGACGGCCCCGTCAGGCCAACTCGAGCCCTCCGAACTCGAGCCTTGCGTCTCCCCGAGCAGAGGCGGCGAAGGCGCCCGACGCCGCCGCCGAGGGCGCCTTCGACGTCGAGGGCGACCTCGGATCGCTGAAGTGGCAGACCGTGCGCAGCGCCCAGTCCGTGGACGTGTTCCTCGAGGCCGGCCCGCCCTTGCAGGGCCGACCGCTCCGAGGTGGCGGCCACGGGCCCTCCTGAGCGGCCACGCGACGGGAGGGGGAGGAGGGGGAGGAGGAGCGAGGAGGAGCGAGGAGGAGGAGGAGGAGGAGGAGGAGGAGGAGGAGGAGGAGGAGGAGGAGGAGAGGAGGAGGAGGAGGAGGAGGAGGAGGAGGAGGAGGAGGAGGAGGAGGAGGAGGAGGAGGAGGAGGAGGAGGAGGAGGAGGAGAAAGAGGAGGAGGAGTAGGAGAACGAGGAGGGGACAGGCTCAGGGGGAGACGCATCGAGCCCCAATCGCCCACTGATCGCCGACAGGGGCCCGCGAGCCCGCCCTGCGATGGGCCCCCGATGGGCCGGGCCGGCGATGCATCGGCGATGCACCGCCGATTCTGGCTCGATGCTTCCCGCCCTGGAGGGGGTCCCCCGCTGGCGTCCCCCCTCGCCTTCTCCGACTCCGCCGCCTTGGGCGTGCCCAGACCTCCGACGGCACAGCTTTTGCGATGCGCGGCCCCTGAGGTCCCGACCCCCTCCCGGGGCCAGCTCTTCGCCCCGGATGAATGTTTGACGGCCCCGAGGCTCGATAACGGGCATCCGAGGCCGAAGTCGAGGAAGCACGCCCAGACTGAACAGATCATCTCGTCGGAGATCTGTGGACCAGTTTTTCATCCTGTGTCTTTTTGATGGCCCCAGGGTCCAGCAGGGACCCCTGGAGGCCGCAGATTGCTAAAAACCTTCCGTCGCGATTTGTGTCGCGACGCAGGGGGATCTCGGTATACTGGGATCGGCGCGGGGTTGCCAAGGAGATAAGGGGTTATCAGTGTATGATGCCAAGGTGGGTTACACCTGGCTTGACCTAGCTTACCAGTGGGTTACACATGCTCCAAGTGGCGCAGGGAAGTTAGCGATCCAGGCTAAGTGGGTTCGCCCACTTAGCGCATTTGTCCGACCCCTAGAACATCGGGGGCCTTTGTCGCCCACTTATAATAAGCCAGGTTAGGCTAGATATAATGGCCCACCATGGCATCCGCGAGTAACCAGCCTATCCTCTCAGTATTGAGCCGGGCCTGTCCCCCTACAGGGGGATTTCGACGAAAAAATACCCCCCAAATAGTCAAAACATAATCCAAAAATCGTCAGGGGACTATTTTTGGAGTATTTTTTGACCTTTTTGGAGCATTTTTGGGGTATTTTGCATTTTCCGTCGAAAATCCCCTCTGTAGGGGGACCCGCCCGACATAATCTTAGCAGCCCCCGCGCCGATCCCAGTGGTCTCTGGGCCGTGCTTCGGATCTCCGACGGCCGCTCTGGGACGACTGGGGTTTTCCCACGAGACGTCCTCGACGAGGCGCCGCTTCCGGAGAGCACGCGAAAGCCTCCAAGAGCCCACGAAAACGTCCGAAGCGTCGAGCCACCTCGGCATCCACCGATGACCCCCCCCTGAACGGCGGCGAAATCCGAACCCTACCCTCGCCGATCAAGGATTCAGGCAACTCGATGTGCGGCGGGGGTAGGGTTCGGAATTCGTTGAACGCGTGGCGAACTCCGAACCCTACCCCTGCCTCCCATCGATTCGTGAGAGTCGATGGTTGGTGGGGGTAGGGTTCGGATGCCGCCACCTGCCTATCCCGTCAGCACCCCCCGCGCCGTTCCCAGTGTCGACACGGCGGAGCTGCGCCCAGTCTACGGGCGGCTCGCGGGGCTTCCGACGCAAGACGGCCCGGCCTCGGCTCGAGTCGGAGACCCTCCGGGACCTGGACCTGGCAGGTTTGGTAGCAGATCATGGGGGCTTTGTGCGTCCTCTTACTTCCGTTGTAATAGACCTGTGTGTCATCGTGTGGGCCTTGAGCTTTAGCGTGCGCTGGCGTCTGGTAATCGATGAGAAAGCGCCGTTTGAGCGTCGATTGGCGTCGATTCGAGTGGTCAAGCGTCGATTCGCAAGAGCCAACAAGATGGCATGGAAGGCTTCCGTGAGTTGCCACCGAACCGGGCAGGCCTCCCTGTTGCTCCCCGCCGACGCCGACCTGCTCTTGCACTGGGGCTGCATCGGCGCCGTGGGCGGCGATCGAGGGACAGAAAAGGATCGCATAGGAGATCGACTACAACAATGAAGTACCCCAAATTTTGTTTTGTTCGTCGAATCTACAGAACAAGCGCGTACAAGGTTCGTACATATACGAACATTATACGTCTTGTCTTCCGTAGGTTCGACGGAAAGTTGACTTCTGCGGTTAGTCAATTCTGTATCCGATCCCCTACTCGGAAGGAATGATCTTTTTACATTGGGCGGTTTCGGAGGTTTCGAAGGTTAGTGGAGGTTTCCATCAGCTGCGCCTCGTCGAGGGCTCTCCAGGGGGTGCTTGGATCGTCCCGAGCGGATGCCGCAGACCCGAGGTATGGCCAGAAAACCCACGTCCACGACGATTGATTTTTTTTTTTTTTTTCAATCTGGGCGCTTTTCCTCGATACCGGCCCCCGGGCAGGGCCCGTTTCGACTCCGATTCCGATGCGATTCGATTCGACTTCGACAGCTGCCCATTCCGGCTCGACGCGACTCGGGCCTCCGATCCGGAGGCCGCTCTCTCCGTGGCGGCCCGCCGGCCTGCTGACTTCTGCGCACGGAACATCATCACGTCGGCGGATCTCTGGGAGCATCAAGCATTCGGAGCTCCGCGCGGGCTTCCGCCTCCTCCTCCTCCTCCTCCTCCTCGTCCTCCTCCTCCTCCTCCTCCTCCTCCTCTTCCTCCTCCTCTTGGATCGGCGGCCCCTGGGCTTCCACCTTCCGCACCATCTGGACGGCATGCGCCGCGCAGCGGCCGCCGCCAGTGTGGCTGCAGCGGCGGCCGCCGCCGTCGGCTGTCTCGGCGGTCGCCGCGGCCGCGCCGCGGCGGCACCTGGTGCGCGGAAGGGTCGGAAGGTGGAGGTCGAGGGAGGGGCAACTGTAGGTGGGGGCAGGCTCATGGGGGTATCTATCGACCCCCATTCGCCCGTTCATCGCCGATAGGGGCCCGATAGCCCACCCCGTGCGGATTCGAGATCGGGGGCCTGTGGCCGATCCATCGGCGATGTATCGCCGATTCCAGGGCGATGTTTCTTGTCTTGGGCTGGACCAGCCCCCTTCTCGCTGCTCCTCATACAAAGGGCGCGGTTGCGCCAGGGTGTGGTTTGCGACCTGCGTCGCTGGGGGTTTGGAGGGCTCGGGGGAGGCACCCACGTGGCGGCGCCTCTGGCGCCGGCCCCCAGGAATTCCGCGCGGGCTGCTGCCGAGTCGCAGGGGCGGACCTGAACGGTGTTTTGGCGATTCCGTGGGCCGTGTTCGTTTCGGTGTCGTTTTGCAGCGAAGGCGAATTCAAGACAAGACGAGGGAACACGAGAACAAAACGAAAACGAAAGACACCGTCTAGGTCCAGCCCTGCTGAGTCGCATATATCCTATATCGCCAGTGCCACTCTCTGGGCTGAACTCGTCAGTGGTGAGACGTGTGCCGAAGTTGGTGTCGCGCCGCCTTTGGGGGACGCGGACCCATGGTAGTTCTGAGTTTTTTCCGAACCCTCCTGCGTCGGGTTCTCGCTTCGAACAGGGCAAAGCCGCGCGGAACTCCAGAAGCTCGTGTCTCTGCAGTGTTTCGATCCTCTCAGGCGAGTGGGCCGAGCCGGCGTCCAAGCCAGCGGGCACCACGCCCGTCGGCGACGGCAAGGCTTCCCGCTCGCCCTTCGAGGGCCAGGCGCGGTTGGCGCTGTCCTTCCCCCTGGACGTCGAGGGAGAGAAGCCCAGCCGTCAGACGAATTGATCTTCATGACCCTGAGATCTGGGTGTCGCACTTCTTTCGCACGGGGCGCTTTCCTGCAACTTCGGGCCCCAGGGCTCGGGTGTCCGCAGAGGGGGGGGGTCAGGTGGGGCCGGGGAACGGGCCCAGCCGGATGCTCCCGTTCCAACCCGCTTCCTTTTTCCAGGGGCCGTTCGGAGCGATTTTCTTTCCAGCCCCACCTTGGCCTCTCTACCCCACCTCTCTACGCCCCCCCGGACGCACCCTCGCGGATCGACCCGGCCCGAGAGCTGCCGCAGAAAGATCTGGGGCCGAGAGTCCCGGGCTGTGTTCTTCACAGCGTTTGCGAGTTTCTCGTGCCGTCGGGCCTCTGGATCCCGTGAGATCCGGCGTCTCGAACAAGCTGCAACATTGTTTAAAAACTCACGCCTGGAGCCCTCGACCCCATCCTTTCCTTTCTGCGCCGCTCTTTTCGAGCCACGGATCGATCCGCGAGGGTCCCGGGGCCCGAAAAAGCGCGAAAACGCCCAGCTCGAGAAAATCGAGGCGCCAGGATCTCAGGGTCAGGCGACGTGCTCTGTCGACCCGCGGCCCGCCCGGGTCCGCGCGGGGCAGCCTTGCGCCCTGGGTCCGCTTCTGAGGGCCCCAGGGCTCGAGGCACAGGCTCCGGACGCGCCGAAGTCGAGGGACATGGGCTTCCAGGGCGGAAAAACCGCCCGGAGCCGACGCTTTTGGCGTCTGCGAAACGGCCTGGGGCGTTTACGAAACGGCCTTGCCCTGCTCGATGCCTTCGGTGGGGGTGCGCTTGCGAAACGGCGTCGCGCGTCGGGGTGATCATAATGGGGGTAGAGTTCTCTGCCCTCTACTGTCGGAGGTGGATAGACCTCCTACCCTGACACGTCGATTAAGGAATTGGCCGTTTTCGGTTCGCGATAGGGTGTCGCGGCCGTCATTTTTGCGGTCCAGGTCCGTCGGTTTCGGTCCCAGGCCGTTTTCACCAAGGGGAGGTTTACGAAAGGGAGGTTTGACCACCGCCGATAATGGGGACCTGCGATTTTCCTCCAGGACCTCTTTTTCTCCCCGACTCGTTCTTGGTTGTCCCGGGGGGCACGGGGCAGCGGCCCCCGGAGGCCGAGAGAAGGTCCAAAATTGGGCGTTGCGTAATGGGGGGGTCATACATGGGGGGGTGGCGAGAGTGGTCCGAAAAGGTACCCAAACGGTACCTAAACGAGCCCCTTGGGGCTCCGGAGGGGCCCGAAAGGGGCACGAAAGGGAACCGTTTCTGACCCACCCATTTATGACCCCCCCGTTAAGCCACGCCCAACAAAAGGCAAGCCGCCGCGAGTCCCCTACCTCAGGAGGGAAAGAAACACACAGACACAGTTAATCGTCGGTCCCCAAGAAAGTGAAATATGGGAAAATATGGGAATTGGGCGAGAAGACAAAAACCCAGAGAATCTAGGAACATTTGGGGGATCGTTTTATTCCCCATATCCTAAGGATTGGGGTTCTTGTTATTACTCTGACGCCTCCCACTCCTCCTCCTCCTTCTTCCTCCCGCTCGCGCCTCCCTCCTCCCAATGATAATCACCAGATAAGACAAGACAAGATAATATACTACAAGATAAGATAAGATAGCACAAGATATGATAAGAAGAGATTTCAAGATAAGATAAGATAAGTTAAGCTCACACTCACACTCTCTCATGATCACAAAACGCTGCCAGGGGCATCATTTGGGAGCCCCAAGGGGGAGCCACCCTGGCTGATCTCACGAGCCCGTTCGCGCCGATTTTGGTGGGACGTCTCAGCTAGAATTGCCGTTTGGCGCCCCCAACATGTATCTCTTGAGAGCCTCATGGTCACAAAACGCTGCCAGGGGCATCATTTGGGAGCCCCAAGGGGGAGCCACCCTGGCTGATCTCACGAGCCCGTTCGCGCCGATTTTGGTGGGACGTCTCAGCTAGAATTGCCGTTTGGCGCCCCCAACATGTATCTCTTGAGAGCCTCATGGTCACAAAACGCTGCCAGGGGCATCATTTGGGAGCCCCAAGGGGGAGCCACCCTGGCTGATCTCACGAGCCCGTTCGCGCCGATTTTGGTGGGACGTCTCAGCTAGAATTGCCGTTTGGCGCCCCCAACATGTATCTCTTGAGAGCCTCATGGTCGCAAAACGCTGCCAGGGGCATCATTTGGGAGCCCCAAGGGGGAGCCACCCTGGCTGATCTCACGAGCCCGTTCGCGCCGATTTTGGTGGG